GAAACCAAGGTGTCAGTAGGGGCATATTCCTTCTTGAATATGTGAGCTGTATTAATACCACATGTAGTTTATCTACTCATCTGTTAACGGACTCTTGTTATTTCCACAGTTTGACAATTGTGAGAAAATGCTTCCATGAATGTGGGCGTACAAACATCTCTTTGAGACTGCTTTCAAATCTTTTGATTTTTCTAATACAAACTCTACTTTTGAATAGAATAGGGTTGGTAATTGTAGGGTTTTTGTTTGTTTGTTTTTAAGAATCACCATCCCGTTTTCTGTAGAGACTGTACCATTCTACACTAATGGACACAGTTTTAATTTTTTCACATCCTGAAAAGACTTATTTTTGTTAATTTATCTATTTATTTTAATTTTTGAGACAAAGTCTCACTATGCAGCCCTCACTCTCTTGGAACACACTTTGTAGACCAGGTTGCCCTGGAATGCAGAGGCTTGCTCATCGCTGCCTCCTGAGTACTAGGATTAAAGAACTTGTCATCTATAGTATTTATTTACATTTCCTTATGGATTGATGATGTCAAGTACTTTCTTGTGCTTTTGGCCGTTTGTAAACACAGGGACATATTAAGTCTTTATTCCCATTTTCAAGATTAGATTGCTTGTGTTGAGTTTTAATTGTACATTCTAGACATGAATCTTCATCAGGTACCTGGCTTTCAAGTTTTTCCCTGTTCTGAGGGCTGCATGAGCTAATTGGCAATGTCTTTCTTTTTCCCACCCAAATTGACGGCAATTTTTCATCATGTTTTATGAAATTAAGGCAAACACAGAAAAAAAAATTGTGTGGGAGTTAGACTCTACTAAGCCTGGTTTCTTTTGACAACCTCCTGGAGCTGGGCTCTGCGGAGAACAGGTAGCTTCAGTTTTCTTCTGAGACACACAACAGCAAGGTCAGCCTTGCAAGCCAGCACTAGGCCGTGCTGACAGTTGGAGGCTATTCTGGGACCCAGAAGACTTTGTTTTGTAAGGCCCTGCACTCCCAGATTAACTCTGGCTTTGGTTAACCCCCCAGCCACTTTAGCCTTTGATACAGAGAGCAATGTTAGGTACAGTAGAAAGATCACAGTGTCCATATTATTGATAAAAGAAGTATTCCCTTGCAGAGAACTTGTCTTTACTACATTATGATTATGAACAACCTTTATTTCCCAAGCAGTTTTGGAATTGCCAATTCTTTTTGAATAAGAATTAAGTACATATTTCAGAGCTTAAAACAAAATTTTACTCTAATAACATTCTTGTGTGCCCTTAGGAGTACAGGCTAAGAGGAAACATAGTTAAGCCACAGTGCAAGATATTTGCGTTAAAGGCAAAGACGTTTCCCCATTGTTGTCACTGTCAGCACCCAAAGATTAACTTCCTTGCCAAAGAAAGGGACGAGCTCTTGTCTGGAGAACTGAGATAGCTCTGGGCAGCGGCATGGGCAGAGTTTTGCAGATGGGTGAATCTGCTCAGGGACCATGCTGCATGAGCAGCAGCACATCTGCAGATGGAGTGGGCAGAGGACATCTAAATTTAGTCGTTATTCACTGGAGAAGGTTTTAGGGAGCATCCCCCCTGACTCTCATCTTGCTCTAGTCATATCCTCCTGGAACCAATGCAGGTGGGTGGAGGAGAGGCAGGGCAGTCAAAGGTTTCAGACAACAGAGTTCTGTGGCTCTGTTTCTTTGTACCACTGACTAGGATGGTTCTTTCCAGTTCAGCCATGAAACACACTATTTTCTTAAAATATAATTCCTGGATTTAAGAATCCACAGCATTCTAAAAATTAGGGTATTTTCTGAAATTAGACTTCCAGATTCCTAAATCTGGCTAGTCCAGAGACATTTTGAATCAAATTACTTTCCTCCCATAAAGAGCCGTGGTGAGTGAGGATTAAATACATTTGGTGTGTGTGGTCATTAAACGTATTGACTTAAAAACAGTGCCAGGAACTGTGCTCAGCTCTCTGAGGTGGGTAGGTTCCCAGTGCTGTAGATGAGGACACTGACACTGAGGTTAGGTACTCCTGTTCAAGACTATGTGCATCAGCAGAATCCTGCAGTCTGTGTTACTGCAAAAACTTTTTAACAGTTTTGTCCTTTACTTCGTAGAGGGAATGGAGACTCGTTTGCAGAGTTGGGGTATGTTATTTTATTCAAAGTAATTCAGAGATTCTTGTTCTGCCTAATTTCTACCCCCCTCAATGTCTGCACTCAAACGGTTGTAACATTTTATGAAGTATATGAAGAAAGGGTATTTTAATCAACAGTGCAGTCAGTTATGGGAGTTGTTTTTAGACAGTGTATCAAAACTTTGATAATTTTGTTTTTTTGCTTTTTTTATGGTGGTTCTCATGTATTGTAAGTTAGTCTTGAACTTTATGTGCAATAAAAGATGATGAACTCCTAATTTTCCTGCCTCTACCTCCCATGTGCTGGGATTACAGCTGTGCATTGCTGCATGGTTTATGAGATACTGGGGATTGACCCCAGGGCTTTGTGCGTGCTGGGCAAACACTCTATCAACTGAACTACATTTCCAGCCTTGCTAGTTTGTTAAGTGTTAACCTGAAATGAAGACTGAAGTTATGTCATACACAGTCTTACTGTCACATTAAAACCACCCATTAGTCAGCTGGGTATGATGGCACATGCCTTTAAAACCAGCATCTGAGCACCAGAGGCAGATGGATCTCTGAGTTTGAGGTCAGCCAGGGCTCCATAAAGAGGTCCTGTCTACAGAACAAAACACAGCAAAATGCATTATTCTAACTTGTTTTTTGAATTAATCTTTTACTGATGCCTGATTTCCTAACACTATGTACTTAATATTTGAAAAACACAGGTTCGTTGATTTCTCTAGATCTGTCTCCCATATAGAGACACACTTCTTATATAAAACCAACTGATCATACTTGCAGATCATCCCAGTGTATATATCAGAACAGCATCGGGAAAGTGCCAAGCTCTTGACAGTTTACTTCCCAAAATTTTATTTTTTTATTTGTGTGGTCAAATTTTATCATAACAGCAAAAATTTATTGTTTTCTTTGAGACTCTTTGTTCATTTTGACATCTGAATAACAAGTACTTTTTTGTCAGTTACTGTTTCAATACAAATAGTATTCTGTGAAAACGTGGCTAGTTCATGTTGCAGCCTCGCATAAGTCCTTTTTCTGGAAACAACCATCCTAATTCAGGAGCTTCTGCAGGGCTTCATGTATGCTTTCCAGTTGTCACACAGAATATTAAAGGACTCATCCTCCAATACTGAGGTTTAATAAGTTAATGACATTTTTAAATGATTTATTTTTATTTTACATGTAAGGGTGTTTTGCCTGTGTGCATGTCTGTGCACCATGTATGTGTGGTGCCAGAAGAGGATATTAGATTCCCTAGAACTGGAGTTACAGATGATTATTAGCTGCTCTGTGCATGCTGGGAATCAAATCTGGGTCCTCTGGAAGAACAACCAATGCTTGTGACCACTCAGCCATCTTTCCATCCCCTAAATTAACAATCTTCATTGCTTCATGCTGGTCATTTTTAGGTTGAGTGGTCTTTTGATGCAGCTATTTTGATTTATACTAAGTCACCAGTGATTTTTACCCACTGCTTTGGCATCATTAGTGCAAATGTCAACACAATGAAAAGACAGTTTCCTAATATTATTGAGAAGACAATTTTTATTTGGCTAAAGAAATTATTTCTCAGCTACTGTTTTAACTATTATTTATTTGAAATATGAAGGAAGGGATTCACAGGCAGGTTTTCTTATTGTTTTTTGAAACAATGTCTCCTTATAATGTCTCATCATAGTCCAGGTGCCTAGGAACTTGTAGCCGTGCTTCTGCCTCAGTCTCCTGAGTGCTAAGATTCCGGCATTTTGCCACCATTGGACCATAGGCACGTTTTTAAAAGATAGTCTAATTTCCTTCTAGGTCTTGAATTTTCCTACTCTGGAACTGTCTGAGCCTGAATATTTATTCTTGTCAATGATTTTCTTTTTATTCTCTGTTAAAGTAGGCTTTTTTTCTTTTCTATTTTCCCCCCCTCTCTTTTCTCTCTCTCTCTCTCTCTCTCTCTCTCTCTCTCTCTCTCTCTCTCTCTCTCTCTCTCTCTCTCTCTCTCTCTGTATATATGTCTGTACCTGAAGCCTGAGGACAACCTTGGGGTATTGTTCCTCAAGTGCTGTCCACCTTTATTTTTGAGGCAGGGTCTCTCACTGGCCTGGAGCTTCCTAATAGGTGAGGCTGGCTAGCCAGGGAGCACTAAGGATCTGCCTATCTCCTTCTCCTAGTTCTAGAATTACAAGTACATGCCACCATGCCCAGCTCTTTTACATAGGTTCTGGGAACTGAACCAGCCCTGTTGTTGTATATACGTTTTTTAAAATTTGTTTTTGAAGTAGGGTGTCACTGTGCAACTGAGGCTGACCTCAGTCTTAAGCTTTTCTTTCCTTAGCCACCCTTCCCCAAAATGCTGGGGTCACAGGTATGTCCCACCATGCCTGGCTTAACCATATTTCATTGTGATTATTTCTTTTACACTTATTAAAGATTTGAAAGCCTTTACTAAAAAGGCTTCTGTGTTTTCCCATACTCGCTGGTATGAAGGCAGAGAACAGTATCTGTCTGCAACTACAAATATACTTTCCCATATCATTTGAAGCCTTTTAGAAAAACGTATGAAAACATTTTTAACACACTTTCCTTTTTATAATAAAATATACTAAGGTAGCTTTTTTTTTTTTACAGCACTGTAGAAGTCATTTCACAGTTAACCCTATTAATACTTAGTACTGTAAATAATATTAATATCTAATAGTATTTCTAAGTTTGGAAGTCATACTTCAGACATTTACTAGGAAAAATAAATAAATAAATAAATAATGTATCTGAACTACTGACCAGTGTCATTGTCCAGAGCAGTGTCTGGTATGTAATAGAACTCAATAAATACTTGTTGAATGAATCAATGGGCTTTTCTTTTCAGGCCTGTATTGATGAAAATTTGGACATGGTGAAGTTTCTGGTGGAGAACAGAGCCAATGTAAACCAGCAAGACAACGAGGGCTGGACACCTCTTCATGCGGCAGCTTCCTGTGGTTATCTCAACATAGCAGAGTGAGTGACATCTATTGTGGGTTTGGTGCAAACTCCTCTGCTCATCAAAAATTGAATTTTACAAAGAATTATAATCTCTCTAAATTACAAACAGAAAATTGACTATTAAGAACTAGTTGACACAGTGTTTTGTATCCTTACTAAATGCACAGTTCTTACTTCCAATTTTGTTTGCTTTCGTTTTTGTGTAATTCATATTTGCTGGGCTATTCAGAGACAGCACCAGCCTGGTGCACTGTCTGGTTAATTTCTGAACAGCAGAAAACATGCATATCAATTGTAGACTTTTTTCCTTTGGACTTTTCTATAAACCTGTTTTGTTTGTATGTTTTTACAAATATAATTGCAATAAATAGCAAATTATGAGCCAGAACAAGGCAAGGTTCTGTGTTCTGTTGTTGGCATGTGTTGGCATGTATTCTCCACATTGGTTGAATGACTATGTTTAACATGTTAGTAGCTGCTGACCTCCGGGGGCAGACTGTCCTCTCTAGAGCAGAAGAGTCTTGATCACCTGGTACCTACTATATGAGAAGCACAAAATAAGTTTCTGTTATATGAAAGAATGATCAGGAATTTTATTTCTAGTTAGGAAAGAAACTTTGGCAGTTGAAACATCTTTAAAATTTGCAAATTTAGATTAATAAGTAAATCTAATCAGGATAGTCTATGATCTTTTTTGAAATTGATTAAGTCCTTTTCAATGATACAACTGCAGCTAGCGCATTTTTTTTTCTTATTTTTCTTATTTAGCAACATCAGGCAGTCATGTAGAGGTCTAGTAACTGCATTTGCCCAGGTTATCTGCAGATCGCTGAGTGGCTGGGTTTCCTCGAAGAAGTATCAGTGTAGAGACAAATGAGGCATCAGTGCGGTGTTGGACAGGGCTGTTGTTTAGGTGTAGATAACTGGATTGGCCCCAAAGCCAAGACCACTGGATTGTAGTTTCCTTTGTTCTAGGTTAGTATGGATCTGTAACCTCTTTGTCACCTAGGCTGCCTCCATTTCAGGCTCATATAGAAAAGGCTCTGATTCTGTATTGTACTCACTAATGTCAATGTTCTGGTGCCTGGGACTGAGGATGACTTCTTCATCCACTTTAGACTTACAACATTTGAAATGCAAGGCATATTGGCTTCTCATTATTCGTACTTGAGTATGAGTGTAGGGGAATGTTTGTGATTGAGCTACAAAATCTCATTACATTCAAGAATTTAGGTTTTTTTTTTAATCCATTTTTTTCTTTCTGAATTATCTAAGACCAGCTGAGTCTTAGAGAGTAATATAGGTGGTGTTATCTTTTGGGAAAACTGAACAGAGAGAATTATTGTAATGCCTTTTGTGGACTATTACCTTGAGTGAAGTAAGCTTATCAGTGACCATCACAACTTATGCATATTCATGTCTGAGCATAGTGAGCTGATCCAGTCTGGAATCCAAGGCAGATGTGGGGTGGAGGTAGAGATGGCATGCTTTAATTTGCCTTGGAATATACACATTATCATTAGATAAGTTATTTTATTTTTATATGCACTACTGTTTTTGCTAGGGATATCAGGTCCCCTGAAACTGGAGTTACAGACAGGTGTGACCTTCCATATGGGTGCTGGTAATTGAACCTGGGTCCTTTGGAAGAGCAGTCAGTGCTCTTAACCCCTGAGCCATCTGCCGCCAGATAAGTTTTTATTTTACTCTCCTTATTTTTAATATTTTATACAACCGATCAGGGAAATAACATGATTATTTAATGGCTCAACATTAAGAGTCCTGGCTGCGCTTCTGTAGGACCTGGGTTGGATCTGCAGCATTCACATAGCCACCTACTACCCTTCCTTAACTACAGTCCCAGGGGACCTGGCATCCTCTTCTGGTCTCCAAGGACTGTGCACACATGTAGTGCACAGACAATCGTTGGGACAAAACGCCCATACACACAAAATAATAAAAGTATTTAAAAAATTAATTAGAGACAGGATATCACTGTGTAGCTCTGGCTGACTGTGGGCTTAATGGAGCCCAGGCAACCCATGAACTTCAATCTTTCTGCCTCAGTAACCCAAGTCCTGGGGACACACATGTGTGCCAACTCCACACTGGCATGTTTGTGTCTTGAAGAACTTACACCTTAAACTTATTTCTAGCATAATTGGTGAAGGACAGAGAAACTGGCTTTTTTTCCAGGAGAAACCCATAGCCATTTTATTTCATCTTCCTTGGTGATCCTTTCTGCCTTGCATATCTCTCTCTCTCTCTCTCTCTCTCTCTCTCTCTCTCTCCCTCTCCCTCTCCCTCTCCCTCTCCCTCTCCCTCTCTCTCTCTCTCTCCGTTGTGTGTGTGTGTTTAGTTTATTTTTTTCTAATTTTGAGTTTAAATAGAGTACTAGTTTGCTAGATTATTTCTAATGATATTTAATTAAGAAGCAGCAGATTGACCCAAACATTTAGCATGACTGAGACTTTATTGCAATGCTAACTTATTTCGAGATCTTTTAAAAACACATTTTTTCTGTACTTTTTTTTTTCCGTTAAAGATTAGCAAAGGGACCCAGTGAAATAGCTCAACAGGTAAAGGCAGTTGCCATCAAATCTGAGCAGGGGGTTTGATCCTTGGAACTCACATGGCGGAATGAAAAAACTGATTCCTGCAAGTTGTCATTTGACCTTCTTGTATGTTTCACAGCATGCTCATGTGCACATGGATAAATGCATTAATAAATAAGTGTTAGGAAATAATAGCAAAATACCTTTTATCAGTGCTCAGCTAGGCTTTCAAGGGACATATGTGGAACTAACAGCAATTCTAAGCATCTAGACAGCAGGCTCCTCCTTTGTCCTGCTGCTTTCTAGTTCATATGCTGATGTTTACGCTCATCCAGTACACGTGCAGTGCTAAAGCTCTTTATGTTTCTCCTGTGAACTGAGGAAATGTGGAAAAATGGAAAGCGGTGTTGCTTGGTAGAAGCCATTTTTCTTGATTATTAGACTTTGAACAGATCAGAAAAGGGAAAAGTGGCAGCCCATGTAACCTGACCCAGGAAGAGATGTTAGAATGGAGACCAAGATATTTAGTTTAAGCAATGTTAATAGAATGCCAAGGGAAGAGCAAAAGCATCAAGATAGTGTCTGCTATGGAAGAGGTGCAATTGTAGATCAAGCTGTCCTCGAATTCTGCCTGCCTTTGCCCCCAAGTACTGGGATTAAAGGTGTGCACCACCACCGCCTGGCCAGGCAAGATTCTTGAAGCAAAAGAGTTTGAAATGGACCTTGAAAGATGTGAAAGGTATTTACAAGAGAAAAGAGAAGGGAGTTTGATCTATTTACTTGGAGGAAATATCTCTCCCTAAGGAGCAGAGCTGAGTGTGAAGGGGTTGGGGGTTGCAGGAACTAATACCGGTTGGGTTTGATTAGAATATATATTTCAGTTCAACCAATATTTATTGTGTGTTTATTATGTATGCTATTTGTATATTGATTTTTTGCATGATACAGGACATATGGTTGAACGCTTATTTGGCTTGAGAGGAAGAAACCAGAAAAGAAAAACTATCAACTATGGAGTAATGAAGGAATAATTGGATACATCATGGCAGGAAGTGTGGCAGCATGCAGGCAGATATGGAGGAGTAGCTGAGAGTTCTACATCTGGATCTGCAGGCAGCAGGAAGAGGGAGAGACTTGAGGCTTGGCTTGAGCATCTGAAACCTCAAAGCCCATTCCCAGTGACACATTTCTTCCAACAAGGGCACACCTCCGAATCCTTTCAATGTGCCACTCCCTGGTGACCAAGTAGTCCATCTATGAGCCTACAGGGGTCATTCTTATTCAGTTCACCACAAGCTGTGTATATGTGGAGGTGATTTATCAACTTTTATTGAGGCCTTATTATGCCAGGATACTAGGCACCGAGAAAGCAATGTTATGCTTTTAATTTAATTTTTATTGATTTTTTTCTTCTTTGCCAACTCTGAAGTACATGGGCCATACATATATTGATTTTTTTAAAAATATGTTTTATTTTATTTGCATTGGTGTTTTGCCTGTGTGTATGAGAGCATTGGATATCCTAGAACTAGAGTTACAGACAGTTGTGAGCTGCCATGTAGGTGCTGGGAACTGAACCTGGGTCTTCTGGCAGAGCAGTCAGTGTTCTTAATGTGCCATCTCTCCAGCCTCCACATTAGGGATTGAACTCAAGTGATTGGATTTGTCAGCAAGTGCCCTCTCCCCCACAATTGGTGTTAGGAACCTCAGTTTCTTAAGGAGTAAGCCTTTATCATAGTTTTATTTAAGATTGATTTGTGTGCGTACATGTGTTTGTTATGTGTTTGTGTGCATATGCATGTGTGTGAGAGAGAGACAGTTAGAGACAAAGCACTTTGAAAATGAAAAAGATACAGATAATGTATTGAAATTATCAGCCCCTTTTCCTTCAAGATACATATTCTGTGTAGATTCAGAATCTGCTTTGCATTTTAAATGTTTCATCAGTAATTTAATTTCCTTTATGAATGTAGATTCATAAAGATGACTTATGGAAGTTAAATTCATGCAAATTCTAAATATATTTTATTTTCACACCTACATTACTAAGCAAATTTCACTTTGGCACTGCAAACAAATTTTCATGAGAACTCCTTATTTACATAGCTTTTTAATTTTCTTACTTTTAATACCGGAAGTATAGTAAGTCTTTTTGAAAATTTATTTGGATCCTAGGCTGTATGAGTAAAGGCTGAATGCCTACCCTCTTTTACTTTACTAAAGCAAGGTTTCACTTTATAGTCTTGATTAGTCTTGAACTCAGCGTGTAGCCCAGGCTCCTGCCTCAACATCCTGAATACTATATTACAGGCTTGGCCAAATACCCCACCCTACCCTGCTCCTTATAGTATTTAGAAAGACTTAGTATTTTTAGAAGTGAAAGAATTGGCATATGTATATGCCAATTATTAGGCGTATGCATATGTACAAAATCTTTTTGATTTGGTTATATCAAAAAAATGGGTAAGTAAATATGGATATGTAAGAAAACATTAGTCTTGTTGGGAAATGGTGAAACCTATAGTCCTAATTATTGAAGGCTATTAGGGTATGAAATTAATAAATTAGTAACAAAACACCTCATCTTTATCATGTTTAAAACCCCCAAATATGCCTTGCTGTACATTGAACTCAAGACACAGTACAAACTGATATCAGATTGACAGAGATAATTTTGATTTTGTCACACAGGTATTTTATTAGCCATGGAGCCAGTGTGGGAATTGTGAACAGCGAGGGTGAAGTTCCTTCTGATCTTGCAGAAGAGCCAGCCATGAAAGACCTTCTTCTGGAACAAGTAAAGAAGCAAGGTAACCTAGGAGACTGGGTGGTTAGAGAGGCTCTCACACTGCCCCTTAGGGAACATAATCCTTCTTCCTTATCATGTGACAGGGCAGGATTAAGTCTGTCTGTGCCGCATTCGTCATCAATCCTCTTAATAACTCATACAAGCATAGGCCACATGCCCAAAGGCTGACCAGGCTTTCCTTGTCTTTGCTATTCTAAGGTTGTGTACTGACTGATCTTGGAGTTAGGAGTGACCTGAGGAGGATTGTGGACTGTTCTTTTTGTGCGTGTACATTGTATTCTCACCGGATAGTCTGAAGAAAGGCTGGAATCCAGTGTGGTCGAATCCATTTTGTGACTTTGTGTCCTTTCCCTTTGAGAGCTACACAGTGGTACTGAAAGCTCTTTATTAAAACTGCTGAAAGGATCTTTAGCCACAGTAACCATGGAAACTGTTCTGATAGTTTCTTTTGTTTGCAGTTTTGAGAGACAGGGTCTTACTTCATAGCCCCACATGCCCCGAGCTCACTCTGTGGCCTGGACTGTCCTTGGACTTTCAGCTGTCCTCTTGCCTCTGCCTCCCTGAGTTTAGATTTCGGGTGTGAGCTACCATACCTGGTTCTAGTTGTTTCCTGAGATAAGGAACCCCTATGTTAGAAGAATATATTCTGAAAATATGTTCCTGTTTTATAGTTTTAGAAGAAACTCATTTCAGGGCATAAAGTAGGGTTCTCCTATTAGACACCTTGAAGCCATTTTGTTTCGTTTTTATACACAGTATTGCCCAGGCTGTCGGTGGACAGACGCCTCAAATCTCTTTTCTCCCTACCAGTATTACAGGCCAGCACCACCCCTAGCTTTAGAAACTTTTTCATTTAAAGTTATTGGCTAACTATGGACAGCAAGTCTTCAGATTCTGTTGAAACTGTCATGAAACTCTGGATGGGACCTGTCGTGATCAGAGATGGAGGAGGCTCTTCTAAATGACCAGAAGTTATTTTCAAAGCCTTAATGTCCTTTAGAACAGTTAGGGCCAAGAACTGGCCACACTTGCTTGTTTATTCTCCAAAGCTGCCTATGCTGTATCAGCAGAGCTGAGTAGTAATGGTAGACTGGAGGGCTGTCAAATCTTAAAGGAAACATTAAGTGTCTCACTTTTTATAGAAAGCATGTTAAGCCTGCCTTAAGTGATGGTTATTCCAGGTCATGCTATTACTAAAGTTCATATGTGGTTCTGTGCCTACTGAATTAAAATTTTTATACTAAGTTTATCCTCTCATCCTATTTATTTCACCTCCTAAAATACATTTTTCAAAAAGATTTATTTATTTTATGTGTATGAATGTTTTGTCTGCATGTTCCTCTGCACACCAGAAGAGGGCATTAGAGCCCATAGGGCTACAGTTATAGATGGTTGTGAGCCACCATGTGGGTGCTGAGAATTGAACTCAGGACTCTGGAAGAACAGCCAGTGCTCTTAACCAACGAGCCATCTTTTCAACCCCCATTCAGTCTCCTAAAATGTTTTACAGTTTACAAATTTATAAGTAAGTTTTAGTTTAAGAATCTACTCTTTTTATTTTGATTGCTGACTCCTTTTAATGCTTTGTTGAACCAAGCATGTGTATGTCTGCTTCGCTTGGCAGCACTGATAGCTCTTACTGGGTCTAAATAGCTTCCTCTTCACCCCGTGCATCTCCCCAGACAGACAGGTCTTCAGCAGTTCATGGCTTCTTATTTAGGAGCCGAAAAGGAGACTGAAAGCACAGATAAAGTATGCTTATGAGTATGGAGCCTTTTGAACGGGTGTGTTTGTATTCTGAACATTTCATTTTTTTTTTTTTTTTTTTTTTTTTTGGATTTTCGAGACAGGGTTTCTCTGCAGCTTTTGGTTCCTGTCCTGGAACTAGCTCTGTAGACCAGGCTGGTCTCGAACTCACAGAGATCCGCCTGCCTCTGCCTCCCGAGTGCTGGGATTAAAGGCGTGCACCACCACCGCCTGGCTTCATTGTTTTGTATAATGAAGAATGTCCTTTCTTAAGGCCCTTCTTTACTAGCCTAGATATCGGAAAGTTGATGGATAAAAGGAAGAACTCTTAGAGTACCTCCAGATGATTGCAAGGGAAACAAAATCTACATTGCCTTAAAAACATACTCTAGTTGACTTTAAATAACTTGGTAATCACTGGGTTGCTCTATGTAGCTTCAGATAAGTATGTACAAGTGCACGTGGAAGTGAGCTTTAGGAGGAGTGCCCTTTCCCACAGTATAGCCTACCTGAAATGAAATGAAATGGTAATCTTGCGGTGTAGTGAGTGGACAAGAGACAAGAGCATCAAGGAGTTCTACTGGCAGCTCTGCCACTGATGTGTTTGTGACCATACACAAAGCACCCAACCTTTCTGTGTTTGTTTCCTCATAAGGCAAGTGAGGCTAGTAATAGCTATTATAGTTACCCCACAGGATTGTTGGGAAACAAAGGTCATATAACACGTTAAAGAATTTGGCATTTATAGTTTCATACAAATATTGTAAGTAAAAATAATATCTATCTGATTTTATGTTCTCTTGAAAACAGTGTTAGGTATGTTCCCTTCATGAATGTGTATGTACCACATAGTGGTTAGCCTGGCTATTTAGCATTGCTAATTTTGTAATACAAATGCCATTGCTTTCAATTGAATCAGTTACCAGCTTAATGAGAAAAGTGTTATCTGTGGTAATATCTGTATGTTTTGAATCTAAAGGAAATACCCTGTCAGACACAGAGGGGCTTTAGTAACACTGCTGTCTGGTGTCTGGCTTCTTCAGGCGTTGACCTAGAGCAGTCAAGAAAGGAAGAAGAACAACAGATGCTGCAAGACGCCCGCCAGTGGCTCAACAGCGGGAAAATAGAAGATGTGAGGCAGGCTCGCTCAGGGGCCACAGCCCTGCATGTAGCTGCTGCCAAGGGTTACTCTGAAGTTCTCAGGTGTGGAGCTGGGCATACTGGGAGAAAAAGAGATGAATTTTAGAAGCAAAAGCTCTTATCTTTTTAACTGTGGTGTATTTTCTTGTTGTTGATTTTCTCTTGCCTTGCAAATTTGCCTCATACTTTGCTGGTGTTCCTTAATGGGTAGTCTCCCTTCCTCTTACAGTCAGCCCCTCTTCCTCAGGTACATGCAGACTTTAGGCACCATGGCATGGGAAGACCTCTCTCAGATCTGTGATGTTATCCAGAAACCTCCTTTCTTTGACTGTACAGATGTGTGACCCTTGTGGTTCTGAATTAGACAGTTTCTGGGCTCATTAGATCAATTATAGATCTTGAGTGTGCAGTATTCAGTTTTCATATGAGAATTAGACAGATGTGTATGTATGTGTGTGTGTGTGTGTGTGTGTACACGTGCGCATGTGCACATACACTTGACTCCATGGGTAAGAACATCTGCTGCCAAATGATGACTTAAGTTCAGTCCCCTGTGTGCTAGAAAGAGAGAACTGATTCCTCCAAGTTGTCCTCTGACCTCAACTTGTGCATAGTGGCATGTATGTACCCTCACATACAAATATACTTGCACAGCACATCACATGAACCAATTTAAATGTAATTTAAAAAAGCAGTGAAAGAGAGCTAGACTCTACTATTTTGCTTGTTTCACTTTTCTTATAGTCATGCTTTTTGTGACTCCTGGTGATTAGTGTTGATAAGAGTTCCAGCATGCAGGGGAGCTAGACTCTCCCAATTGTTGCTAGACTCTTCCAATGTTCACATGCTACCTAGTACGGCCTTCCTAGTAGGTATGGTAGTGTGTTGGTACTTTTTCTCCTTCTGCCTGAACATGGTAGTCATGTGCTGCTCAGTTCTTGAAAGGATAGCACAGTACAATTTGGGCTTTAGGAATCATATTTTTCCTCTTACATATAACATGGATGCAAGTTAGTCTTTAGTTGTATAGCTAGCTTAGCTAGAATTCTCTGTGGGTATTTTAAGAATTGGAGGTATGGGATTTTACAGAAAACAGTCAGTCCTATAAAGGTCATCTACAAAACTCATTGGTAAAAGATCCTAGAGATGTTTGAGTTCTCATTTTATATGTGAATTCTTTTCTGAACTGGAAAATGCAGAGTATACCCTGTAATAAAGTTGTGTAAGTTGGCTAATTGATTAGGTTTTAGTTAATCTTGGGTGCAGATTATTCTATGTATTCCTCATGCATGGCATATGTCCCAGTTGCTTTCTGTTGCTGTAACAAACATCATGAATAAAGCAATATTAGGGAGGAAAAAGCTTATTGGCTTATATGTTCTGAGAGCAGTCCATCACTAAGGGAAGGAAGTCAGGGCAACAATTCAAACAAGACCAGAGGCAGGAGAGAAGGCTCTTACTGATCTGCTTCCTGTAGCTTACTCAGCTACTTGGCTCATATAGTTCAGGCCCACCTGCCTAGAGGTGCACTGCCCACAGTGAGTTGGCCCTCCCCATCGTTAGCAATTAAGAAAATGCCCCATAGACGTTCATAGGCCAGTCTGGTAGAGGCAAGTCTTTAGTTGAGGTTCTTTCTGTCTAGATAATCCATGTTTATGTCAGGTTGATAAAAACTAAGTAACATGAATAGTATGACGTGGCCATGTGTAAGGAATGCCATAGGGATGATCTTACGGAGAGGTGCAGTGAAGGTTGTAATTGGTGTGAAGTAGCAATAGGAATTGCAGGCTGTTCCTTAGAGGAACGAAGGGATCACAAGATGCCTGGAAGTCATCCTGCAACTGAAGCATTAGTGGAGTGGTAGCTTATTTAGTAGAAAACTATAAAATCAAGGGTGTAAATGTACCTTTTGGGTTTCCTTCTAGACTTTTAATTCAGGCTGGCTATGAACTCAATGTTCAGGATCATGATGGCTGGACTCCTCTTCATGCTGCTGCACACTGGGGAGTGAAAGAGGCTTGTTCCATCTTGGCAGAAGCACTCTGTGACATGGATATCCGGAACAAACTGGTTAGTGAGTCTGAACCTCTAAAAGGGCAATGAGATCAGGTGGCTGGGTGCCTGGCGTAGGCTTAAAGTCTCTGTTCAATATCCAGTTGGCTGTTCTGGGGGATGTGCACCACTGTAGCTGTGTTGTCCTCTTCCTCCTTGCCTCGCTGCTTGTTATCAATATAATAAGAAGTACATTTGCTCGGTAAAATAAAAGTCCACCAACCACGTCATCTGGTTCTACTTGTGTTGAAGCCCCTAAGACAAAAGGAAATGAAAAAGATATCTGCTCTTGACAACAAATGAACTTTGAGAAACCTAATGTCCTGTCTGTGGTGAGATATGAAATATTTTACTAATTTTTTCAACTCAGTCTTTTAACAGCTGAGCTCTCTGCACATGGAGTCATTCAAGAACACCTGTAATGGCAAAGATTGTTCAGTTTTGACTGAAGTAGTCTTCCCAGTCTCATATCAAACAACTTAGAAACCCTGGGACTCTTGTCCCAAATCACTTGATTTCCTAGAATCAAGACCCATGGTTTTGTCTGTCTCACATAACTCCTAAGTCCAGGTCTCACTCTCAGACTTTAGGTCAGAGCATGTGATTGTACTGGTGTTTCCTAAAAGAAATAACCTGGCCCGGCAGTGGTGGCATGCACCTTTAATCCCAGCCCTTGGGAGGCAGAGGTAGGCAGATCTCTGTGAGTTTGAAGCCACCCTGGTCTACAGAGTTAGTTCCAGGACAGCCAAGGCTACACAGAGAAACCTTGTCGGAAGGAAGGAAGGAAAGGAAAGGAAAGGCAAGGCAAGGCAAGGAAAGGAAAGGAAAGGAAAGGAAAGGAAAGGAAAGGAAAGGAAAGGAAAGGAAAGGAAAGGAAAGGAAAGGAAAGGAAAGGAAAGGAAAGGAAAGGAAAGGAAAGGAAAGGAAAGGAAAGGAAAGGAAAGGAAAGGAAAGGAAAGGAAAGGAAAAACACTTTAGAATGGGTCTAAATAGGGATTCCCCTTGATTATTTGTCAAGAGGCCATAAGCATTATAAATGGTGACACTGCACCATTTCCTCATTACTGTTGGACACAACAAACTCTGTGGTTAAAGGATTTGCCGTTTCTTAAATTGTCTCTTTTATGACGTGTGAAGGCATCTCAATGTAGAGTAGGCAGATTGGGGAGTCATCTATAGGCTGGGCATCTCCAACCCAAGTCTGAAATCTGAAATGCTTGTAATCTAAGACTTTGTGAGCACTGATATGATACCCCAAGTGGTAAATTCCATACCATGAAAGCACAGAATTATTTAAAATATATAAAACCATTTTAGGCTATATGTAAAATATAAACTAATTTTGTGTTTATACTTGGGTCCTAACACACACACACACACACACACACACTCACATTCTAAAATCCAAAGCACTCTGCTCCTAAGCATGTTGGATAAAGGAGATTCAGTTTGTATCACAGAATAAAATTAAGTAAGTAAATAGTGAATAGTCCCTGATGAAGTCACAGGATTGCTGCTTCTGTTTTCTATCTGTCATGGTGCCCCTTTGTCCTGCTAGGGACAGACACCATTTGATGTGGCTGATGAAGGTCTGGTGGAGCACTTGGAGATGCTTCAGAAGAAGCAGAATGTGGTAAGTCTGGTTGATGCTTTCAGAGCTTTCCTAGCAGTTCACGGTTTACTCTGGGTGTCCCGGTCTCTTGCTGCAGTGTCCTTGCTTCAGAGTTGAACTGGATGTATCTGCATTTCACAGATGTTATTTGTTCCCTTCAGAAATTATCAGTAGTCTGTTTGAAGAAACTATGCTGTAAAGAGCTACTTACCATGGAATAGCCTACAGACAGCTAAAAGTCGATTGCAGAGAGGAATGTGTTTCTCACTTAATGAAGTCATATTGCAGCTGTCACGTGGTGTTGGACAGCATTTGATTAGTAATGATTCATACTTATTTCAGATCGATAAAACATCTGGAATTCGGTCCTCTTATCTTTCCTCCTTTCTTTAAAACCTTCATTGATTTAATCTACCTTTCTGCTTGGTGCTCTGCAGAAGAGCTACATATATATGCTACTCATGAATGGAACCCCCCACCCTCTGGTACACAGGTAAAGAGTGACCAGCTGACATTTTCTGACAATGAGTAATTTGGACAGGGGAATAAAATTAGTATTGGACAGAAATGTAGCTCAGAGATGTAGCAGATCAGAGAATCTAATGTGAGGATCATTTGGCATCATGTCTAGATTACTGAAGCAGACCTCTTATTAAAAAATATTTTTATTTAAATTTATTTTATGTACATTGGTGTTAGGTTGTCAGATCTCCTGGAACTGGGATTACAGATAGTTGTGGGTGCTGGGAATTGAACTCAGGTCTTCTGGAAGAGCAGTCAATTGAGTGTTCTTTACTGCCCACCTGTACTTCGTGACAGTACAGCACTACTCCTGTATTGCAGCACCTGTACTACAGGACCACTCGCAAGCCAGGCAAGGGCCTGGAGATTTAAACACACAAAGAGACAGAGACACGGGTCATCCTTGAAACAAGAATGCCCCAATAATGCCCCCTTTATTGTGTACCAAAGCTGCTTATATAGGAATCTTTAACTAATAGCCATGCCCCAGCCAAACCCACAAGAAACCACTCCCTTGCCATCAGGAACTCCTGAGGGTCTTGTGCTCAGAGCAGCTGCAAGCATAACACCTTGTTTACAAGAAATTCAGGATCTGGGGGTTCACAGCTCCCAACACTGAACCATCTTTCTAGCCTCTGAAGCAGAATTCTTGTTACTTTAAGACTCATTTAGAAAGCCACATACATGAAGTTCAGACAAACAACATATAGTTCATGTGTTTTCTTTTTCTGTTTTGCATAGTTAAGTTTTTGTGTTTTTGTAAAATCTTGTCCTCTAAACTAATTTAGATGCACATAAAAATTGCCTAAGTTGTTAAATTGGATTGCTTGATTTCCTCAACTATGACCTCAGCATTCCTGGTCTTGAATGTTCATCTGTGCCTTTGGATTCATTTCAAACCATCATAAATACTCATTGGGTGGGTTCTTTTAGGAAGTGTGGGGTCTAGAAGAATGAGGTGTTTTTCTGATACAGGAAGTTACAAGAGTGGGAGCCTGTATATCTTTTATATTGTAGTGATGAATACCTGAGAGGAACTGTGTAAGGGGTGGGGAAGATTTATCTTGACTCATGGTCTCAGAAATTTCAGTTCACAGTCCATACCCTTTTACTAACATAATTGGCTTTGGGCATAAATGGTATCTCCCTCCAACCATTTGAATTCACTCCTTAGCCCAGGCTCCCTAGTAACTGGTATGATAGACTTGTACGCTCAAGCCCAGCTTCACCAGACATAACCTTACTATACTAAAGGGAATGGCATTTCTCTTTGCCCTCTGCATAACTTTAGGCTCCAAGGACATAAGTATATTTTGTCTAGAGCACTGGTTCTCAGCCTTCCTAATGCTGTGATCCTTTAATACAGTTCTCATGTTGTGGTGACCCCCAACCATAAAGTTATTCCATTGCTACTTTATAACTGCAATTTTGGTACTGCTATGAATCATAATGTAAATGTGGCTTTAGGGAGTCATGACAGGTTGAGAACTACTGGTCTAGAATATACATCCAAATGGCAAACCAATTCTCATAGCATATATCTAATAGAAGAAATAATAATTTGCTTCCCATATAGTATCTGCCCGTGATTTTGTTAGAATTATTGACAACTTATGTTGGTATGTGAATTAAAAAAAAATATTTCCAGGTTCCTTTTGTTTCCTTATCCTTCAGAAGCCAGGCTTTTTATTAATTTTTTTCCTGTTAAGGTTTTATTTGTGATTTTGAAGGGACAGTTTTCTTGAATCTCCAAGGCCATGGTTCTCACTTGTACTTTGGATAAAGATTTTCATCTATTCCTTTCTTCCAAGGAGGAGTGGTGCACGGTGATGATGTGTTTGTCGTTTTTCTTTGTTTCTTTTTATGAGACAGAGCTTCTTTGTGTATCCTTGACTGTCCTGGAATGTGTAGAGCAACCAGACCAGGCTGGCCTCGAACTCAGAGACCTGCTCTCTCTGCCTCCCGAGTGCTGGGATTATAGGCGTGCGCTACTACCACTCAGCGTGCTTGTCGTTTTCTTGGATTCTCTTCTCTGTCTTTGATTTTGTCCTGTTTTTATTTTTATTTTTCAGAATGATGGTTAATTTTGGTGCTTCTCAATACTATTGATTTTTCACAAATAGTCAACTTCTTTCCTTTTTTTTTTCTATTTTTTTCAATTTCCAGCTTCGAAGTGAAAAGGAGACGCGGAATAAGCTCATTGAGTCAGACCTGAATAGAAAGTTTCAGAGTGGACTCTTCAAGAAGTAAGATACAAGCTTACTTGTATGTAAGGAATAAGATGCGCTTGGTGTTCTCTGTGTGTGATGCTTGAGGATTTTTGTGGAGTTTTTATTGTTGGTTTTGTTTGTTTGTTTGTTTGAGACAGCATTTCTCTGTAGCTTTGGAGCTTGTCCTGGAAATCACTCTATAGACCAGGCCAGCCTTGAACTCACAGAGATCTGCCTGCCTCTGCCTCCCAAGTGTGCTGGGATTAAAGACATGTGCCACCACTGCCCGGCAATGCTTAAGGATTTTTATATTAAAATGAACCTGTGTTTGATTTAGGTCAAATGATCTTCCAGTGTAGAAATGTTTTGGGAAGATGGCACTGATATGGGGGGCTCTGAGAATAAATGAATATGCTTCACGCTGAGAAACTGTATTGGCAGCATCTCTTTTAGTTTAGCCTAGAGGTTCCTAGTTCTGCCCTCTCCCCTTCTTACACTGGGTGTTTCCTCCGCTCAAGAATGTGTTTATTTTTTACCATTGTTTCAGTATCTAGCAAGATTTGTGGTATGTAATAAAACTCAGTAAAGATTTGTTTGTTGACTTTAAAAAATGTTTATCTGCCCCGTTACCATCATATCCTTGCTCTTCGTGGTTCTCTTTAACTGTATGTTGAATAGACAAACTCTCCTTGACTCATACCCTAAAATCAATAATAAACCTTGAAAGCCAAGGGTCCAAGAAAACACACAGGTATAAGGATGTCCATGTTTTTACTGTTGCTTCTACAAACAGATTTGTAGATTTGTTCCCTTTGATATACCTGATTGTCAGTGCTCTTAAATGACTCATCATACCTGAATTGCTTCCAAATTATTAGCAAGGAGAAGATGCTTTATGAAGAAGAAAGCCCCAAGTCCCAAGAAACAGAGGAAGAAAACAAAGACTCCAGCAGCTCCAGCTCAGAGGAAGAGGAAGAAGAAGAATCGGAAACTGAGAAGGAGGCAGGTAATGCAAAGGCCCTTCATGTCTGCTGCCCGTCCAGGGTTGGTCAGGCCTCACAGGCTTCCAGAAAGAGCTTGAAGTACAGTTTCCAAGAGATTGAATTGCTAATGACAATATGTGTATAAAAGCCTTGAGCTCAGTTAAAATATACCTGCCAGTTCTAATGCAGCCATATAGTGAGGTACATAGAGAAATCTTGCATGAGGGAGGCTGGTGTCCTGTCCTTAGATTGATATGTCAACTATAGAGTCCACGAAGCTAGTATACTGAGATGCATGGGGCAAATGTTTTTAACACATTGGTAAAATTTTGCATTTAATTATTATGTTACTCTGATTCTCAAAACTGAATCCTAATTTATTTTCTTATTTTGTAAACTTCTTTAGTTTCCTAGTGAAGAAATTTGTGAAAGAAGAAATCAGACTTACTTTTATCACTCTTATTAGTAATATATGCATTTATCCTTCAGTGTCATGGGAGACTGACCCAGGGGATAATCAAAAGCTTTAGATATACAAGTGTCATATATATTGGTATAGTATTTGCATAGAACTTGTATACACCTGCTGGTGTACTTCAAACCATCTCTCAGATGCTTATATTACCTGGTACAGTGTAAATAACTACTATACTATATTGCTTTGGGAATGATGAAAATGTAAGGGGACATACCTGTAAAAAAAACATAAACAAAAACTGTATATATTTAGCACAAATTCAAGATCATAGTTTTTGTTTCCAGATTATTTTTGTTTGTTATAAGTTGAAGAACTGAGGCTGTATATTAGTGTTTGACTTTGCTGGTTTCTCTCAGTCATGGGAGAATACTGCTCTTAATCCATGTCTTAATTTGAGGTTCATTGACTGTCACCAGAGGAAGTTAGATGCCGAGGTTCTGTAGAGAAGGCGGCATCCAGTAAGTTTTTAGCAAAGGAAAAAGAACTTTATAGTCACGGAACCTTGGATTTCCTTTAGATTATTTATTTCATTGTTTTCGTGTGTATGGGTGTTTTGCCTGCTTGTCTGTGCACCACATGCACGCAGTCCGTGTAGAAGCCAGAAAACAGCATCAGATCCTGGAACTGGAGTTACAGATGATTGTGAGCTGCCATGTGGGAGCTGGAAATGGAACCAAGGTTCTCTTGAAGAGAAACCAATGCTCTTGACTGTTTATCCATCTCTGCAGCCACTTAAAAATTTAAATTTTTATCTATTATTATTTGTAGCTTACTCTGAAAATGCTTGTATTACACCCACCAAAAGTTACAAATGTGTATTTGTGTAATTTACTTGTTCTTTGTGTAATTTACTGAGTATCCCCATAGTCTAATCTTCACACAGTATCTGGAATTTATATTTGGTTTTGCTCTATGCTACATTTTTCTCTTGTTGTTGCTTGTTACTATGGCATTAGGAAAATGGGAGGGAGCTACCAAAACTGTTGCTATTGCTTCATAATTTATACTCCTGCGTCAGGTCTTACTATTTATAGTCTGTCTTGGTTTGGGTTACTATTGCTATGATGAAACACTGTGACCAAAAGCAGGTTGGGGAGGAAAGGATTTGTCTTACGTTTCCATACTAATAGTCCATCACTGAAGGAAGTCAGGACAGGAATTCAAACCGGGTCAGAACCTGGAGTCAGGAGCTGATACAGAGGCCATAGCGGGATGCTGCTTACATAGAAGGTGCAGCCTTTTTCCTTATAGAATCCAGGAGCACCAGCCCTGGGATGGCACACCTACAATAGGCTACAATAGGAATAGTACAGTAAGCTTACCTATAGCTTGATCTTGTGGAGGCTTTTTTCTTTCTAATTTTTGATTAGGAACTCTGTGTAACCTTGGCTGAAACCAGACTGGCTTCGAACTCACAGAGATCTTCGTGCCTCTGCCTCCAGAGTGCTGCAATTGAAGGCATGTGTCACCACCGCCCAGCTGGAGGCATTTTCTTAATTGAGGTTCCTTCTCAAATGACTTTAGTTTGTGTCAATTTTACATAAAACTGTCTAGCACACAGACCATGTCCATACTGCTTTGGGATAAAATACTGGCAACACCCTTATGATCAACGTATACTTCTGTTTAGACATCTTCTGTGCCAGCACCCTCATCCCATCTTTGTTTGCAGAGTAAGTCCCAAACCCTGTAGCCTAGCCTTCAAAGCCTCAGATTGTCTAGCTCCAACAGACATTCCCAGTACTCTACATAGGCAAGAACATATTGTAGCTAAATTGGATTGCTTGATTTCCTCAAATATGACCTCAGCATTCCTGGTCTTGAATGTTCATCTGTGTCTTTGAATTCATTTCAAACTATCATAAATACTCATTGGGTAGGTTATTTTAGGAAGTGTGGGGTTCAGAAGAGTGAGGTGTTTTTCTGATACAGGAAGTTAGAAGAGTTGGAGTCTGTATCAGTATCTTTTATATTGTAGTGATGAGTACCTGAGAGGAACTGTGTAAGGGGTGGGGAAGATTTATCTTGACTCATGGTCTCATAGATTGCAGTCCATGGTCAATTGGCTCCATGTTTCAGGGCCTGTAGTTAAACAGAGAGAATATCATGGTGTCTGATAGGTGTGGTAGACAGAGATGCTCAAGTTTTAACAGCCAGGAAGTAGAGAAGGGTCAGAATCAAGATACTCCCTGTTTGTTTTTTTATCTGCTGCTCAATGGCTACAGCTGATCCTACCACTGCCTCAGCTCCTGACGGCATTTCCACAGCCACCTAGCTACTGAGGCCATGTGCTGGGGAGCCTTCACATCCCACTGTTGCATCCTGCCGCTGCTTCAGCCGGCTCCTCCCACCAACTCCCATAGGGAAACAAATATTGTTTTTAACTAAGTCTCTGTGTTTTTGTTTTATCAATAAAGACTCAGGAGCCAGATGCTAGGGTATAAACCTGCTAGCTCAGAGAGGCAGAGAAAGCAGCAGGGCAACCTTCTTCTTCAGCCATGTCTCAGAAAGAAAGCCTCCCCTACTCTGCCTGAAAACAAAGCTCCTGCAACCAGATACTCCTCCCTTCTACTTCCTGTGCCTCTCTTCAACCTCTCAACTTCCCCTCACACTCTTTGTTTACTTCCAGTCACTGGCTGCTTGTGCCTCTCTACCCTATGGTTTATTTTATTTAATTAGTGCAATCTCAGGGTTCTCAGTGTGATAAAATATCCTGCAACAACTCCCAGTGATCTGCCTCCCTCCTCCCATCTCCTAAGAATGCTACCTAATTATGAGTCTGTCAGTCCATCAGCTAAGTCAGAGCCCTTATGACCCAGTCACCTCTCATAGTTAGTGTCATCGTTACAGACACTAACTAGGAACTAAGTTTTCAGTACTTGAACCTAGACCTGTGGTAGTTGTCTTGTCAGCTTGATGGGTTCTAGAATCACTTTGGACACAAATTTCTGGTCATGTCTGTGAAGGACTTTCTAGATTAGGTTATGATTGAGGTAGGAAGATGCAACATAAGTTTGGATGGTGTTATTCTGTAGTTTGGGTTCCCAGGCTACATTAAAAAAAGAGAGAGGGGGAGAAGGGTAGCTGAGTACAAGCATTTGTGTGACTGTGGACATGATGTGTCCAGCCATACTACTCCTGCCTAACTTTTCTTCCATGATGAACTATATGTCCTAGAACTATAAGCCACACCACCGTCCTTAAGATGCTTTTGTTATAAGATAGCAACTAATATAAGCTCCTGTGGCTTCCTACCCTGTGCCTTTTCACTCCATTTCTGTCTCTATAGCACTGTGCACTTACTTCTGAAGTTGTAGTATCTACCAGTTTTTCTGGGAACACTGAGTTTATTATTATACTTGAGGTTTCAGCACACAACAGACATTCATATTCATTAAGTGGTTTTGCTGACTCTACCTAGTAGGAGAGTAGAAGACTTTTATGAATAAAATACATGTCATGTGAGAGAGGTAAATACAATCACTGGTATTCACTAGGAAAGATTATAACTCATTCTGGGATTACAATGCAACTTTACATCTCTTTAGTGCTTTTTACTTTATAATACACTTGAACAATTTTATTAAATCCCCACAACCATACTTTAGGGCATATGTTATTACCACTCTATTTTTAGAATGAGATATTGAGACTATATGGCATTACATGAACTAGGTTTCATTGCTAGCCAGTGGCACTGTTCCCTGGGTATAGAAATTCTCAGTTTAGGAGGGAACAGTAGAAATTCTCTATATTAGAAGTAAAAGTGGAAAACTATAGAAAAGAGGAGCTGGAGAGATGGCTTAGCTATTAAGAATACTTGCTACTCTTGCTGACGATCCAAATTCAGTTCCCAGCACTCATGGCAACAACTGACAGCTGTCTGTAACTCCAGCTTCCGCGGCGAACACCAAGTAGGCATGTGGTACACATACATATGCAGGCCAAAACACATATAAAACAATAATAAATAATTTTTAAAACCTGTAGGGCAGTATGAGGGTCCCACAGATGATAGAAAACAAGAGGTATGAGAAAGAACTCAGGGCATTCTGTGTTTAGAAATTAAGGTAATATCAGTGAAGGAAGCAAAGAGGTTGAGGAAAAGCAGCATGTGTGTTTCTGCCGCAGAGAAGCAAGCAGTAGTGTGATGGGAGCATGCAGGGACGGTGCAGCAAGTAGGAAGTCACCAGTAGCGGGTGTGGGCAGACTCCTACTCACTTCTGTAGTCCTTTGCCAACTGAAATTTAACTCATATCTCAGTGCTCAACTCAAATAAACCTCTGCTACCAGACCATGTAGATACATGGGTTTCTTTCTTCTGTTGATTTTAGTAGCTGTTTGTTTTTTAGCTCTTTTGTATTAATTTTCTCATGCTACTTAATATTTGAACTACTTCTGGTTTTCTTCTCACCCCCTCTGCTGTTCCCATATGCTTTGGGTGCATTTGAATATTCTTATGTGTTTTCTCCATCTTCTGTGTGTGGGCGCTCATTAAACGTGCTGGTAGAGTACATGGAAATGGGTTTACCTAGGCCTTTCCAGATGTGCTTATCGTGTGAGCAGACAGTGAACAAATATCTATTTGGTGCATTTCTCCCATTTTTAAAGATCCATAGATGCAACCTCATAAAAATTGTAGTTTTCATGTGTCTTATACAGTGATAATATATTAAAAATATCTGTTATATTTTGAAATTAATGTAAACATTTTATTAGAATTTCTATTTTCTCTTTTTTGTCTGACTTAAGAATTTTGTATATCAATTCTATATTTCTTCATAATAAACTACCTCCAAACTTAATGTCTGAAAACAGTAACTCTTGAGCTAGCGTATGGCTCAGTTGGTAGAGTGCTTGCCTCACTTGTACAAGGCCCTGGGTTAGATCCCCAGCACTGCATAAAACCTGACCTCCCACACACTCCTGTAATTTCAGCAATTGGAAGATAAAAGCAGGAGGATCAGAAGCTCAAGGTCACCCTCAGCTACACAGCCACTTTGACATCATACTGAGTTACATAAGACTCTGTCTTGGTGTGGGTGGGGAGGGAAGGAGCTAAAAAAACAAAGGCTCTTTTTGTGAATGCTATTCTATGGCTTGGCAATTGGGGAAGGGAGCAGGTAGATAGCTTGTTTGTGTCTTAAGGTAGTGGTGTGCTTATTTATGTTTGTACCATCAACTAGTAAGACATATGGAAGGATAGCTGGTCCTAGATGTCATTGCTCATGCTTTTGGTAGTTGGCTGTGATGGTTAGGACAAGTGATCTCTCTATCAGGCTTGCTTCCTTTCTTCCTGTGGCAGCTGGATTCTGAGATTCATTAAGAGAGCAAGGCTGAGTGTCTCAGTTGCTGATGTTTCAGAGGCCATAGCAAGCAACTGGTCAAGCACAGAGTTAGTATGAAAAGGGCACTACATAAGGCCATAGGTTTAGGGAGTCATGTTGCATTGGCAACCAGTACTGTAGCATCTATTTCGTTTGGCTCATAAGCTAGATTTCTTGGGGAGTCTAGATATATTTATTACTTAAAGATGTCTTAATCATTATAATACCTACGAAGTGATAGCATTAGAAACATAAAGAGGCCATGAGTCAATGAGATATGCAGTTTAAAAGTACTAATTCTAATCTTTATAAAAATTCTCTTAGGGGCTGGAGAGTTAGCTCAGTGGTTAAGAGCATTAACTGCCCTTCCATAGGACCCAGGTTCAATTCCCAGCACCCACATGGCAGCTCACAACTGTTTGTAAGACTGGTTCTACTCTCACACAGATATACATACAGGCAAAACACCAATGCACATAAAACAAAATTAAATATAAAAGTTTTTAAAAAATAAATTTTTTTTAATGCAGAAATTAAAATCTCTGTTTAAGGGCTGGAGAGATGACTCAGTGGTTAAGAGCACTGACTGTGCCAGGCAGTGGTGGCGCACGCCTTTAATCCCAGCACTTGGGAGGCAGAGGCAGGTGAATCTCTGTGAGTTCGAGGGCAGCCTGGTCTACAAAGTGAGTTTCAGGACAACCAGGGCTGATATACAGAGAAACTCTGTCTTGGAAAACCCAGAAAAGAAGGAAGGAAGGAAGGAAGGAAGGAAGGAAGGAAGGAAGGAAGGAAGGAAGGAAGGAAGGAAGGAAGGAAGGAAAGCACTGGCTGCTCTTCCAGAGGTTCTGAGTTCATTAGTTCAATTCCCAGTGTATGTGGTGACTCATATCCATCTATAATAGGATCTTATGCCCCCTCTGACATGCGGGTATACATGCAAAGCACTCATATATAAAAATATAAATAATTTTAAAAAATCTCTTATTAATTAGAAAGTAGAGGTTCAAATATAATATGTAACTTAGTATCACACAATTAGGTGTAGCTTATAATTACCACAGGACCCATGAAACTTACTCTGGATCTGTTCTCAGAGTATAAATACCATTTATAACCATTAGGTACAAGCTCTGTGCTAGTTATTAATTGCTATATAGCAGACAGGCTTTCTGATTGATGACCCTGCTGGGACCAGTCACTCCTAGTCCTGTGAGTCCAGTTACTAAAGTTCTGTGACAGATGTGTGATTGTGTTCACTGAGACATCGTTCCTCTTCCACCTATCCATCAGTCTGTCTTTCAACTTTCTCTGGAACGTATTTCCTTCCTCAGAGGCTCCGCCCTTCTTTAAAATCTACAGTACCTATTGATCCGAATCAACCATAAGATCTGTGTTTTTATTATAATGTGTCTTATTTCTTTTTTGTTGTGATTACCTCGAAAGCAAAGGCTTTCTTATGTATTTTCTGTTTTCATTTCCTAGCCTACAGAACTGGACAGGTTCTTTATAATGATAAATTTTACATACAAATATAAATATATATACACACACTCTACTGTAGAGACTTTTTTTTTTATCAGAAGTTGGAGCCTACCAAGATAGGATATCCTTGAGTTTATTTTCTTCTACCCACAGTTGCTAAAGTTTGTCCTAGTGTGAGTTTAGGCATCCCATGGTTCTAATAATCTTTGATTTGGCAAAACATTTTTTTTTCTTTGTAGAAAGGGATTTATACACACAAAGATAAGATTTTCATATTTATATTTATTGCTTCTCTTGTCTTAAATAACAGATAAAAAGCCAGAAGCCACTGTCAACCATTCTAACTCTGAAAGCAAGAGTCGTATCATGGAGCAGACCCCAGCCCCAGCTCAGAACACCTTCTCTGCCTCTTCTGCTAGGAGAGTGAGTACTTTGGAATTGATGTGAGGTTATATTTCACTCTGCTACAGTAACATAAATGCTTCAAAGATGAATTCTTGCAAAATAGTATATTCTTGCCTCTTTTAGGCTCTTACACCAAAATACTTTAACTGTGACTTAAAAAAATGGAACTTTGCTTCTTACAGTTCTGGAGGCTGGAGAGTCACCAGAACAATGTGCTAGCCAGTCTGATTGCTCAAGAGCGCTGTCTTCTGGTTGGGTGATGCCTCCTTCTTGCTGTATCCTAACATGTGGAAAGAGCACTGTTGTCTCTCTCCTAGAAGGCAATCAGCCCTGTGCTGTTGACCACATTCTACCTTTGTCACTTCCTCAGAGGCCCAGCGTCCAGATGCAGTTGTATTGTCTAAGGCTTTAGTATGAGTTTTAGAGGGATACAAAATCCTGTCCATAACAATGCCCCCCCAAGTCTTTGAAAAACAAATGCCAAATAAATATGGCTACAAATATGTTACAATAACAGGATGAAAGTATCCTGAGACCAAAAAGATTCTGTGTTTTAACTGTTTCTTTTTCATATTAAAAATGAAGACAACTGTATAAAAAGTAGACTTGTGGGAAGGCACTGTAGCATCTAGAAATGTTTTGATGGCAATTGCTTTTTCTACTTGTCATGAAAAGTTTAGTCTCATGTGTTAGGTTGTTGCCTTATATGGTGGGCAAGGGTGGGAGAAGGACTTGTTGAAATTCCAGGAGCACTCCTGCAACAACTCTGTGTAGGCCTTTCCAAAGCTGTAGGCTTCTGGCAGAGAGACAGTTGGTCTGAAACTCTGGCTTAGAGGTTTAATTGGCCATAAGGGAAAGGAAACAAAGTCTAGCCAAGCCTTGTTTACCTTTAGAGACATCATTGTGAATGATTAACCAAACTTTACATAGAGTGCCATCCTTGCTCAATATACAGTAATTTACTTGCACCTCAGATACTCAAATATTTCTAGGTGTGACTGCACTTCCTATCTTTTATAAAGGAACAATACCTACTTAAGAAATGCAGTTACACATACTTCCTCTATGCTAAAGTAGTACTGGAAAAGGAGGAAGAACTCCTTTTAGAGTCACAGTGGCGTATAAAAATGAAGGCACTCATAAATGCCTATATTTAGATGGAGTAAATCTTAGTGGAGGTGGATGGATATGAGTGACTTTTACTCTACTAACCAACAAAGATGGCCTAGTTTTGGAAGAAAGAAGTATTTTTTTTTTAATAAAGGTCTCTAGACAGTAGGAAAGGGACTGTTGCCTGGCATCTGAAGGACCAGTTATACCCGAAAGACCCTGATGTGGTTTATATACTAATGCTAGCCTGTGGTGTTTCCCTGATTTGTTTGTTTCTCTGCACTAGGGACTGAGCCTTGTGTGTATATGCTTGTATATGTTAAGCAAACACTCTCCCACTGACCCATATCTCCGGCCTGCTTCCCTGCTTTATAAAATGACAGTGTAAAGTTGTCCACAAAGTGCTGTTGTTTGTCTTTAGTGCTGATGCTAGACCTAGGGTCTTGAACATGCTAAGCAAATGTAGCACCCTTGAGCTGTATCCCGCTGCAATCATTCTTTTCCTTTCCTGAGGCTTTAAGACAGGTCTTATGTAACCAAAGGCCGTGCTGGCCTCAGACTTACTGTGTAGCTGAATGAGACCTCGATCTACCTACCTCTACTTTCTTTTTTTTTTTTTTCCTTTTTTTTTTATTGAGAATAAGAAAAAAAAGTTTCCGCCTCCTCCCAGCCTCCC